CCCCTCGGCCACATCTCGTCGTCCCTGCATTCAACTATAGCAGCCCCTCCACCCCCTCGACTTCGACTCACGGCTGCGCTCATCTTCGGCGCGACTAGCCCACCATGAAGGGCCTCAAAGACTTTCGTAGGTCCTTGAACAAGGACCGCCATTCGGGCGGAAAGCCTCCCACTTCAAGCGCAAGCCCTGCCGCCTTCACCAACGTCAAGAGCGCCGTCACCATCCAGCCGCCCAAGCTCGTCATCCGCGCCGTTCGCGACTACAGATCCAACTCGCCCCACGAGCTCAGCTTCCATAAGGGCGACTTCTTCCATGTCATCACAGATCCCGCGCCCAACGCAGACTGGTTTGAGGCAAACAATCCCATGACCAACGCACGCGGTCTCGTCCCCGCAAGCCACTTCGACGTCCTCTCCAAGAGCAACCGCGCAAACCCGGCCACCTTTGCAGGCCCAGGCGCCACCTCGCCCCAGATCGGCAGCATGTCTCCGCCAACCTCCTCCGCTGCCTCCACAACAGGCGTCCCGCCTCCTCCTTCGGGCGCGTCCTTGTCGTCCAAGGCGTACGGCGGACGTGCCGCTGGAGCGGCCATGACGGCAAAGGGCGGCGGCGGCCTCTACGCCGTGGTCAAGTACGACTTCAACGCCGAGCGCGCAGACGAACTCGAGGCCAAAGCAGGCGAGTCCATCATCGTCATTGCACAGTCCAACTTTGAATGGTTCGTCGCAAAACCCATCGGCAGACTCGGCGGTCCCGGCCTCATCCCTGTCGCCTTTGTCGAGATTCGCGATCTGGTCTCCGGGCGCCCCATCGACGACGTACAAGAGCTCATCGAGAGCGGCGTGGTGCCCAAGGTGGAGGAGTGGAAGAAGATGACCGCAGAGTACAAGAAGAATACCATCCCGCTGGGTCGCTTCGACTTCCCGCAATCTTCCCAGCAGGGTCTCAACTCGCCCTACGCCAACATGGCCGCTGCCGCTTCGGGCAGCAGCACCAACAACGCCGCCCTCCCGCGCTCCGACATGCACGCCCACCAGGCGTCCATCTCCTCGCTGCCAGTCCCCACACCACCACCCAAGGACGATCTCTATAATCATACGGGCGGTCCGCTCGGCGCCGCCGGTGCAGTGCAGCCCTTCGACGAGCACGATCCCAACGCCATCGACCCGCTCACCCAGCTGCCTCCTGGAATGTCGCCAGGCGAGCCGCTGCCCACAGGCATCATCACCTCCGCCACCGTCGACTCGTTCCACTACGAGCAGGGAGACTACTGGTTCCGCATCCAGGCAACGCATGTCGCCGGGCCTTCACCATCAGCACCGTCCAACGCGCCCACAGCACCCGACGGAGAGGAACGGGATCTCATCCTCTATCGCCTCTACGAAGACTTTTACGAGTTCCAGATCGCGCTTCTCGACCACTTCCCCGCAGAGGCCGGCCGCGAGACCGACGCCAACGGCCACTCGAGCGAGCGCATCCTCCCGCTCATGCCCGGCCCGCTCGATGTCGTCGACGACCTCATCACCTCGCAGCGTCGCGTCGATCTGGACCAGTACATCATCGAACTCTGCTCGCTGCCCGAGTACATTATGCGCTCCGAGCTCGTGCGACTCTTCTTCGAGCCAAGGCCCGGAGATCACTGCACCGCGCACCCGGCTCGCGGTCCCACCGACGAGCAGGACAACAACTTGCAGTACAACGACTACGGCTATCTGGCCGGCGGCGTGGACGCAGGTCAGCAGAGGAACCAGCAGACAACACAGCAGCAGCAGCAGCTGCGTAGCAATGGCGTCAACAAATATGCCGAGGATCAGCCAGTAGGCCGCGCAAGCACCTCGTCCAGGACCGAGGACGAGCTCAGCGCCAAGATGCGCGGCGCCTCGCTCGGCGGCGGTTCGGGCGGCGCGTCGTCGGGCCAGCGCGACTCGGCGCGGAGCAGTGCTGCGTTTGGCGGAGGAGTGGGCGGGACGATCAGTACGGGACGCACATCGCAGGCGTCGAGTGGGCACAGGAAGCAGAACTCGTCCGGACCATCGACGCAACCACAGACGTCGGGCTCGGCGGCCAGCGTGCCGTACCACCGGATCAAGGTGGCGCGACGCAACGATCTGGACAGCGTGATTGCGTTGAGGATGCCGCCAAGCCCTACGTATGCACAGCTGCTGGAGAAGGTGCGCGAGAGGTTAGGCGCCGACGTGTCGGTGTTCAAGTGCAACGAAAAGCCCGATCTCATCGACGACGATGCATCGCTCACCGCCTGGCTCGACGAGGCGACCGACCGTGGCTGGAAACTCATGCTCCATGCCTCGTGACATCGATCCATTGCTCCTTCTTCCTTGCTCCGTCTTTTTGGGCTAATGTTGTACAGTCTCTCGGTCTTTCTTTTCTGCTGTGCGATACTCGGGTGTCACCGGTCGTTGCTTTCACTGTACCTTGACAATGGTTGGAACCAAATGGCAAGGATTCACACAAACACATGCAAGGAGCGGAAGGGATATGATGTTGTGATTGCGAGCGCGTGTTTTAGACGCGGTAGATGAGTTTGCCTTTGGAGATGGAGCGCACGCCTTTGAAGGGTCGATAGTTGTGGGTGGCGGTATTGGTGAGTTCGATGGCGGTGACTTTGAGGTTGGAGATGGGTTTGGACGGGTTGGACCATGCGACTGTGATGGCGGATGAGTGGGTGGGCGGTGTGCGTGTGCTGGATGTTGTCCACTGCACCTTGAGTAGGCACGGACGCGACTGGTGCGCGGGCGAAAGCTTGGGGATGGTCCATCGAACCAGCTTGGTGTTAGGGTCGTAGATGTACGAACCGTACACATCGCCTGCCGAAGGCGTGAGCGTGGGGTCGAGCACGGCGCGTGTTGAATCCGAGGTGTTGGACACTGCTCCTCCGCCGGCTGTCGCTTCCAACGAGACTACGCCCGGACCAAGGCCAAAGGTGACCACCACGTCTTCGAGTGTTCCCGGTGGATCCGCCTTCGAGCGTTGTGCACCGCTCGGCGCCGATCCGAAGCCGGACGAGAGCGAGGCGCCGCGGTCGCCCGTGGCTTGCACTTGGATGAGCGCGGTTCCAGAGCCCTTTTCCAGAGCGATGCAGTGCGATACGGATAGAGGCAGCGATCGAGTCCAGCCGTTGATCGGACCCTTTCCTGCTGCCTGCTTGGACTCGGTCACAAGGTACGGCTCGCCCACCCTGAAGCTCGCGAGCTCAAAGTGACCATCGGGCGGCACAAACGAGAGGCGCTTCTCCTTGCGCCATACGCGGTACCTCACGCACGGGTGGAAGCTCTCGTCCTGTACCATCTCGGGCTGGTTGAAGGTGAGCGAGAGATCCGGCGTTCCCGACAGTCGCGCGTTGCATTGCAGGCTGGCCCAAACGTCAAGCGCCACGGGCCGCCCCGTGCGGGAGACGACGCCCTCGAGCGACTCGACGAGGTCGCAGTACATCTCGTTGTTGGTGTATTTGGAGTTGGGTCTGCGCCAAGCGATGGGCGATGTGAGCGGCGGCGGCGCAGCGGATGCGAGGCCAGACACGCCGACGGCCTTGACGAGCTTGTCGACCCAGCTGGGCGGGAGGACGAGGCTCTTGAGCTGGTTCACCTCGGTGGTAAGGATGTTGCCGTCGGTGTCGAGGATCTCCTCGAAGAGCTGGTAGACAATGTCAAAGTTGTCGCGCAGCGTGTCTTCAGTGAGCAGCGCCGGATCGGTCGACTGTGTGAAGTACTCCTGCAGGATGCCGATGAACGAGCGCAGGAAGGTGAGCGGCACCAACGGGTCCATCTCGCGTGACACGGGACACAGGAAGCGCAACGGACCCGAGGCTAGGTGAATGAGCGCGGCGCCTTGCTCCGCGAGTGCCTCGGCAGCGTGCTCGACGACTCTGTCGCCCCTGTCTTGTGCAGAAGTGGGTGGAGGAGTGGACCGCCTGGGAAGGGACGGCTCTGTGGACGGTTGGTCAGGTATTGACGGCTGGCCTCCCTCGTCCCAGACGTTCACATCGTCTACTGCGGTGTTGGCGGCTTGAGCACCGGTGCGACTGGCGGAGATGCGGGCACTCAGCTGACTTGCCAGCGACAGCTCGCCGAGGTTGGCGGTCACGTCGCCGGCATCTGTGTCGTTGTCATCCTGCTCTTCGTCGTCCGACTCGGCGTGCAACTCGGTCGGATTGACGTCGGGCACACCGGGAACCCAGATGACGGGCTTGATGTCCTTGGTGAAGTAGATGCGATTGGACGAAGGCCCGGGCAGCGAAGGGTCGGCCGCTGTGGATGAAGAGGTGGTGATCTGTGCGTTGGCCGAATTGATGCCGGCGAGGAGCGTGGCAAAGTAGTCCGAGTGGAGGAGCGGGTAGGAGGGGATGCGGTTGGCAAAGTGGGAATGCACGACGGGGCGGCCGTCGGCGCTGAGGACAATGATGCCCTCGAGTGGGCCCGACATGCGTCGATGGGTGTCGCGATGCTGCTGGTGGTGATGGCAGTGATGGCGGTGGTGGTGATGATCAGTGTGGTTGTCCGTGCGAAGGTGCCAAGGTCGAATCCAACACCTCGAGCCTCCCGAACACGTCACGTGATATGCCCAGGGTCGCAATGGATTGAGCGGCGGTGAGCAACGAGAGAAAAATTCGCAACTCTCCACTTTGAACCTTCTCACCATCCTCCTTTCTTCGCCATCATCCACCTCTTGTCGCCACAACCTCGAGCGCCCTTACGCCTTCAGGACGCCTGCATCCGCACGTAGAAGCACACATAACCGCGAGGATCGAGCTTATAATGTCGTACCAGGCACGACCGGCCGGATCGGCACCGAGCGGCGGCGCGGGCATGGGCGGTCTCGCCACCCGCAACCCGGTCATGGAGTACATCTGCGCCGACTGCGCCGCCACCAACGAGATCCGCCCTAGGGAGCCCATCCGATGCCGAGAGTGCGGCCACCGTGTCATGTACAAGAAGAGGACAAAGCGCATGTTGCACTTTGAGGCGCGTTGATCGGGGCGTTTCCATAAGCACCTCGCAGCAGTCGTTCGGCTCGTATCCGCCTGCAGCCCTTGCAGCATCATTCGTCTGCAAAGGCTCTCATTCGCACCCACCCGAAAGCATTGCAGCCATTCCTTCGGACGCTTTTCCTGCGTAAAACGGCTCGGTTTCGCCTCGACGGGCGCTGCCGCAGCGGCTGCAGTTGGCATGCACGGAGGTCCCGCAGAGTCGAATTCGGCCGCAGCACCGCCGCTCGTAAGGCTTGCATCACACCCTCTCTACACCCTTGCATCTGCATCCTACCTCGCCACTTCCATTCAGGATTCGACGGGTGCCCTTCCGCCGCCCTCGACAACGCTCGTATCAGGCGGGACGTTGCTCCTCGACTGCCACACTTGACATCCCCTCCTTTCTCCGTCACTTTGCCCGTGTAATGTTCTTCCCTTTGTACTCATAGCATGTTCCCTGGTATTCCAATTCGTTCAAAACGTGCTCTTTAGCATGTGGCGGGCCCGATGACCCTGGTGAGCTGAAGAGCTCGCCCTCCGCCCTGGCAGCAAAGCGGCCTGACACCAGTCTTCGTAGGCCAAGTATTTTGATCAGCACGATTGGCGATCGTGACAAGGGAGGGGTCCGCATCCAAGTCCAATGTGCAAGCCGTGAGGACGCAACACCATTCGTTCGGCGGCAACACCGTATGTTACATCTTGGCATAGGCGGTGCGCAACGCGTTGGCGGAGCGTGTGGAGAAATGCACGGAATGTGCTGCGCGATGCTGTCACCGCCCGCCACAAACGCAACACCCTCCCGCTATCACACTCACTTCCGCAAAACGTCGCGACACACATCCTCTCTGCGTGCTACCATCCAGCCATCAATCGCTACTTCTCGACGCGCAGTGGTCAGAACACCAATGAGTACAGATTACCTCGCCGTCCCAGACCCGGACATCGCGGCTGCTGCCGACGACGCAAGCTCCTCCACTCCCATGCGTCGCGCTTCATCCGCCTCGTCCAATCACTCGCACATCTCCGAGGCCTCCTCCTCGGCATTCGACAGTTCTGGCAGACCAACGCTGTCGCGCACGTCGAGCATGGCCTACTCCGACGACGGTTCCACCACGCCCTACCGTACCTACAACTCCAGTGCCTCGGGTTCCGTGGAGGGCATCGATCTGCTCGGCTCGTCCCATTCTGGCGCTCTACCCCTCAGCGACTTGTTCGAGACCTACTTCTCTCCACGCATCGATCTGGCCGGCAGAAAATGGACCGCCTTCTCCGGCGACATGCGCTCACGCGCCCGCAAAAGACGCGAGGAGCTCGTCCGCAAGGCCAAGTCCAAGCGCGAGCTTCAGCAGATGGACGACGAGCTGAAAAAGATGCGCAAAAAGGTCTCGAAGCGCATCGAGAACCTCCAGCAGAAGTGGGTCGATGCAAAGGTGATAAGGCTACGCGACAAGATCTCCTTTGTCGTAGGCGTCCTCAACCTCGTCGTCAGTGAGTAGGAAGCTGCAGAATGCCCACAATCTCCGCCCGCCATGCTCGCAAGAAGCTGACCCAAATCTCTTATCCCTTCTCAGGCTCCCTCGTCTTTGCACTGCGCCCGGAGCTCATCCCGACACTCTACTCGGCCCTCGCTCTCTACTTCTTACCGCTCAGGGTGTGGTCCTACACCTCCAAGAAGTGGCACTACTTCCTCTTCGACTTTTGCTACTTTCTCAACGTTGCCAATCTGCTCTTCATCTGGGTATTCCCCAACTCCGAGTTCCTGTTCACGGTATGCTACTGTGCTGCGCATGGCCCACTCGCCTTCAGCGTCGCAACCTGGCGAAACAGTGAGTATCATGTTGACTCACAGACAGACTAACAAGACTTGCTAACATGGCACATCGACATCGTGGCGAATCTAGGTCTCGTTTTCCACTCGCTCGAGAAGATGACTTCGGTAAGTCCATGTCCTCATGCTCGAGGTCGATAGAGCTTGGACTGATTCATGGCCCTTTCGTGCTTCGATGCTCTTTACAGCTCTTCATCCACCTAT